CCGCCCCGCCGCGCCGCGCCCGGGGAGCGGGGGGAGAGGGGAAGCGGCGCCCCTCAGTCAGCGCGCGGCCGTTAGCGCCATGGATGCCGTTAGGTAGCGCGCGGCCGTTAGTGCCCTTGGAGCGGTTAGGGCGCGGCCGTTAGTGCCCTTGGAGCGGTTAGGGCGCGGCCGTTAGCGCCCTTGGAGCCGTTAGGGCGCGGCCGTTAGCGCCCTTGATGCCCTTAGGTAGCGCGCGGCCGTTAGCGCCCTTGGAGCCGTTAGGTAGCGCGTGGCCGTTAGTGCCCTTGGGGCCGTTAGGGCGCGGCTGTTCGCCCCCTGGCCCTGCCCAAGCTGGCAGCACTGCTGGTCGGAAACGCAGCGTGCCAGTGCCCGGCACACAAGGGCAGAGGCTGCAAGGGGTGCTCTGCCGGGAAGCGGAGCACCCTCCCCGCTCTGCCGCTGCGCTCGGTGTCCCTGGGAGCAGCTGGGGCCTCTCCCTGGCTCCCTGCTGCAGCTCTGCACCTCCAGAAGAACCTCTTCCTAACATTAGCACTGTCTTTTCTGCAGGGCTCATACTATCCAGGCACCCTTAACACGAGTATGTTGGAATGATCTGTAACTACGCGATAAGGCCAAGAACAACTCAGCAAGTGCATCAGATAGTGACGCGGTTTCTTAACTGTGTATCAAATGGTTCTAACCCTCCCAATCAAAAGGTGACTCATGGCATAAGCTGCTAACCACATCCCACGAAGAGCCGTGCTCCCCCTTCAGCCTCACGAGCACGAACGGGGCTTTGCCGGCTGAACGGTAACCGCTCACCTGCACGAATCGAGGGTGGGTGTTCAGGGCTTTCAGCAGCAGAGCCCTGCTTTGCTCCCAGCCCCAGAGCTGCCTTTCCTGGCACATTATCTGCAGGCCTCGTCACAGATCCTATTTAGCACAGAGCAACCTTTAGTCTTCAGGCACGCTTAAACCAGTTCATCTGTAGAGAGCTACATGCTCCGCATGCTGCACAACCTGCAAGAGGATTTAACGTTCTAGGAGTGATGTCTGTTCAGGTGGAATTCCAGACCCCCACACAGCACAAGCAAAGTTGGTCTTTGTAGAGAATGCCCTGAATACGTAGGGCATAAATAAATAGGGGTTTTCCACATGCACAGAGAACTGTCTTACCCCTTTCTGCTGTCAGGGCTTTGTTGCCCTGTTCCATTAACATCCAATTTGCTGCAGATAGCAAACCAGCACAGAGGAAAGGTGCCCTGTTGCTGAAAGTGGTTAGGCTGGTGTGACCAGCCCTTGACGTAGGCGTTTCACTGTCTTCTGAAGCTTTCCAGGAAGCTACGTTCTCAGATACCCATCAGAATAAAAGGAGGCCTCTGGAGAAGAGACATTAGCAGATCTTAGATTTCTACATTTGCTCTCCTGGAACTAGATAAACGTAGGTTCACTCTTTTTACTTTTTTTAAATGCAAACAAACAACACACAGTATGTAAATACACTCCTGTTTTAAAACTGGCTTCAAACCAGGTTTCAGTATCGCCTGCTAGAGATGACTGAGCATCTCCAAGCTCTTACTTGTGCTCTGTGCATTGGTAAGTGCAGTTCACTAGACACTTGACCATACTGCTCTACTGATACTGGAGACTGCAGAGTTCTCTAGACATAATATTCCATGCAAGTACAAGAAGATAACAGAATGGAAATAACCACTGCCACCAAGCCAGTCTCATTATCTAATGCCCTGATGTGGGTCAGAAACAACCTCTGGCAGTCCCGAATCACCCACTGATGGAGGGGAAACACTCTAATACTGTCCATCCTTCAGGCTTCTCAGCCACCAGTTTTCTGTGCAATGGCTAGTTTGCCACTACGGGGAGAGATCTCTTCAGTGACTTAAGTGAGGTTGTCCACAGAATATATTTTCTTCGAGTGCCAGCTTCCTCTATCTTATGCTATAAATATTATAGAAATATATAAAAAAATATACTATTTTTTCCATTTCCAGAAAGATTAATTCCTTTTTCTTCAGACTAAGAGCAGGAAAAAGAACAGGTTTCTTACACGCCAGGATTCCTGGTGCTGGCCGCCCTCTCTGTGGGAGGGCTACCACAGTGCGAAACACAACGCCACTGCAGTTACATTAAGTTCCACACTCTTCTGTCAAAATGAGCTACTCCGAGATCAGATATTCCTTCGTAACTCAGACCTGTGTTTATCCTGATAAATGGTGTAGTTCCTATTTGGTCTTGGTCTTACAGGCCAACAGGGGACTTTCTGTGAATAAATAATTCAATAAAAGCCTTTAGGAAATGCCTGTATTTTAAAACACAAATCATTTTAGTGTGGGATTCTTCTTAGACAAGTATTTGCAGACATCCTCACATCTGAAAGCAGTAATTAAGAACGTAAAGGTGACACAGCTTTGTATTTAATTAGAAATATTAGAAAGCTAGGATGATTATTTTTATAGACGTAGAGGCAGACTTTAAAAAAATGTTTTGCTAAACTTCATGCAGGGGTGTTTCTTAAATTGCTACAGCTGGGGGAAAGGAAGTGGCTAGCAATAACCGATTCTAAAAAGAAGAAGAGTTTTCCAGAACAGCAGTAGCTCCAGGCTCTAGTGGTTTTGGGGGTATTTTTTTTAAGCAGATGCGTGGGCTGGAAGGGAAGAAACAATAGAAGAAGAGCTGATCTGAGAACATGATGCCAAAGTGAAGGAACAATGTAAATGCGACCAAAGAGAAAGAAAGACAGTCTTTCAACACTAGATATTTTTGTTCTCTTATCCTCTTGAGTCAAAATGAAATGTGTGTGTGAAATAAGAAAAATAGACTGTTATTTTGCTTGGGATTTTAGAGCTTTAATTGCCAAACAATAGTCATTAGTTTGCCTCGACACAGAGCTTTTTGTCAAATACTGCAGCTCAGTCTTACTGGTGGCATAATTCCAACATTGATCCCATGTGAAGCTGCTTTCTTTATCCTTGTTTTAATTATTGCAAATTATTTATAACAGTGATACTGAGCAATGCAACCAAAAGCATAAGGATTTTTTAGTACTCTGAAATAAACCATCCTACAGCATTTTGGTCATCTTGAATTCTATTTTGTTCCTTATAACATGCATTGTGACCTTTTATTCCAAATTGTATTCTATAATGATTTGGTTGGGTGTCCTGTGCAAACACATCTTGTTATGGGCTATGCTATGAGGGGCTATAGGAGAGGCAGTGCCTTACAGCAGATTTCATTTCCCTTGGGGCTGGGGAAAGCTAAACTCTATCTCAGGCTCTGCTAATGAACCTTGAGGGTCCCTAGGAGGGTAACTGTTCTTTAGGTGTATGTTCCTCCCAAAGGGAAAGGCTGATTTCTCTCTGTCATAGGGCAACTGTGAATATTAAACATGTTTGTATTTGAATTGCTGGGATCCCATCTCTTAAAAGAACTCCTTTTAAATCAATACATCATTACTGTTAGCAAGCAGTGCTCGCTGAGCTCTTTAGGGCTATAAAATGGATTCCAGAAGCAATACTGCAGGAGAAGCAAAAGTGCTTACGCTGCAGACGAACAGGAATGTACAGCAGTAATTCCAAAGAGCTGGACCAAGTGCCAACATGCTCCTCCTTGCTCCAGCTGAAAGCAAACACAATACCCTGCTGCATTCTGCAACGGTGGCTGATCCTTTTCCTGGCCACGCGGCCTTGTTTGTTCTGGAAGGCCAAACGGGTCCATATGGTGCAGGGCCCCACTGCTCATCTGCAGCCGTGCTAGAATATTCACACCGGCACGACTAACAAAGAGGATGTATAGAGTGTAGCCCACATGTGTCAGACTGAATTTCTGTACTGATTTATGTAAAGATGCCTTTCTTACATACCTTTTTTCTAAGGACACTAAGAAGTGCTCTAGACATCTTTTTTCTTTTTTTTTTTTTTAATCCAAAAAGATGACAATTTTGTCAGAAACATACTGACTGCAAAGCTGCTCTGGAAGAAGGTACAGGCACCTGTCTTCTACATCTATAACGGAACACAAATTAAGAGGATTTTGTCTAAAGGACAACACTCAGTACTAGGAAAAACAGAGTGAAAATAACACATTTTTTTTCCCCCTTGACCTTGTTACAGAACAGTAACTTGTTAAAACTATAAAATAGTATGTTTTACAGCTCTGTCTATGAAATACATACTTTTACCCGTTAGATGGTAGAATTCACTGTTGAAAATGCAATTCAGAAAGAAGCTTGATCAATCCATGAATGAAGCAATATCAATCACTCTTCAAATGAAACAGGATACATAAAAAGAAGATTTAAGCCATGCAATCTGTGGTGAACTGTACTTAAAAGATATAAATTATCAAGATCTTTTGGCTTGCTATCTGCTTGAGATACTTTTCCTGCTTAATACACCCACTAGTAAAAAGGGGCTGCTCTATAAAGCCAGGATGAAATGTTCCTGCGCTACCTTCCTAACTATATCACAAGCTGCTATTTAATTTTTGACTTACCCTTGTTTACTTTTTTAAGCAAAATCTTGCCCCTGGGCTCACCTATCTAACTAAAAGATCCACATCAAATTAATTCCAAGCAATATTTTATATTAGAAATGCAATTTAGAGAAATTCATAAGAGCACTGAAGAGCAAGATGCTTTTATTTTTTTCTTGTATTCATTCCTGCTTCTCAAGAGCAAGGAAAATTTGTTCCTGCTTCTCCTTTCCTGCTTTTATTTTTAGAATAGGAATGACAAAGACTTGATCTGTCAGCCTACTACCCTTTAAAATGAAGGAATATATGAGTTGAGCAGCATTCAGTAGAAAGAATTGAATGCTTATAAATGAAAATTTTTGTTTCAAGTTAAAAAAAAAAATTTCTTGCTTTAACTTAAATTACAAGAATGTCCCAGCTACCACTGCTAACCTAGCAATGATTTGCAGTGTTGAATAACCATATGATAGTGATGAAAGGATAAGTTTTTCATCTATTGACTGTGTTTCTGCAACTCCTGCATCTTACACCTGAGCAATTAATTGCAATTGTGTTACAGCCACTCAGGCACACTCAAAATGCACGGATCTTTATAACAAAGTCAGATTAATGCTGAGTTAAATTTGGTCAAGTGTCTGAACAAAAAATTTAGCTTCTATTGTGAGCTATTGGGAGTTACTATTATTTAAACAGTAACTCTTACAAATAGTCTCCTTATTTAAAGCTGAGCTTTTCAAAATATTTTAAATTTGGTATTTTTAGTAAACCATCAGGAAAAGACTTGAGGAAATGATGTAAGAATTATTTTTTTTTGGTTAAAATGTTGTCTTTTATAGACAACTTGTTGCCATCTAATTATTTGTAACATCTTCCTGCCTGTAAATGGGTGATAAATGTCCTTCAATGTAAAGTGAAATATTTTCAGTAGTGTTTTTACAAAAATCCACATAATCTGTTTCTACTCAGTGTTTAAGTAATTTTCACAATTCATTTTAACAAACTATCCTGGAAGAGCAACACAATGAGATTTCCAACTGTCATTTTTAAATTATAAATCCTTATAATAGCATCAACTCTGTGCTATCCCTGGCCCACGCCACTGTTCAGAACCCAGCTCTGTAGAGGGAAACCAGCTAAGTAGTTAACAGATTTCCTGGCCTGAGCCTAAAACCTCTACCAGTTGTTTGGTCACCTCTATAGCAGAAAGAATCATTCTTGCCTTCCACTGTGTCCAGTCAATCACTGACACTCCTGACCAAGAAATTATTGGAGAAACCTTGGAGGGCAGTGAAGCTGCTTGCCAGCTGATTCTTTCAGCTGCATTCACCTTAAAAACATAAAGCTGGTGTCTCTCTGCCCTGTGAATTCCCTCGCAGCAGCTTTTCCCGCTCCTTTCCATTACACTCCAGGGGCTTTCCAGGGGCCTTGCAGCATCACCCCTTTGCAGGCTTTCTCAGGGAGCCGTGCGGCCTTCTCTGCTGATGGGAGATTCCAGCCTTCCCACATTTTCATCCTCAATAGTTCTAAGATTACAACATCTACATGCCATTACTTCACATCCCTTCATCATTATTTTATCAATTAAGTGAAATACTCTGAATACAGGGCGCTGATATACAAGCAGGATCAGAGAATCCTCTGTTTCTTTTTTAAGTTTGGGCTATGGCTTAATTCTCTGAAATATTTGGAAAATCTAAAATGAAATCTGAAACACTGGGGAGATGGCACACGTTTTTCCTCAGAAAAGCTTTTTATAAAAATCCTCAAATCCAAGCAACCAAGATTTTTAGTAAAGAAATGCTGTGGTTATAGTTTGTTGATTCAGTTTTATTTCTAAAATAAAGCATTGTAAGTTTAGACAGGAACTTACATTGGCAGTTACGAAACTGGCACAGGTAGAAAACAGTAAATCAACAAACACATGAAACTCTTTTAACTAAGATGATGCAAGGAGGGAAAGCCCTGTTCCCAAAGCTGAACAGCTGAAACATTATAAAGGGTTTTAAAGAGTGCTTATTTGACTTATGAAATGCTGAAAATTCAGACTGGAGAGTGCAAAGCCAGAGAGAGACCCAGATCTAGACTGAACTTCCACAGGAACTCAAACTTGAGGGTCTATCAAAACATGGGTCCCAAATTCAAGTTTAACAGTCCCAACTTTCTTGAGTTGTTCTAAATGAAAGGTTTACCAATATAAGACCAAGACGTAGGGAAATACATGTGCGCCAAATTACCTTTTCTGCATCCAAACACAAATTGGATCTGGTTCAGATGTGGATATTTTGTCTTTCCTAAACCCGTTGCTGGGAATTTGTTGAAATTCAAAATTCAAATGTTTCCAGCCAGAGATAATTGCACTTTTAGGAGGAGTCACAAAAGGAGATGGTTACAGTGAGGGCCCCTGTCAGAAGTGCCAACTGCCTTTAAGAGCTGCCGCTTTTAAAGCCATGAGATGTTTACAAGCCCACACAAGTGAGGATAATGCTTTGTTTTCACAACAACGTGACAGCTCTGGGTGTATGCAAACCCAAACCACTCTGTGTTTATTAGATACTTATCTCCTGTCATAACAGCAATGGATGTATCTAAAGAGATGATGAGACTCAGCTGGCACTTCCCTGTGGCGCTAAGATGACAGCAGGGAGACAGGACATGCTCCATTGGGAGCTGGTCAGTTCCCAGGGGTCAAGAGTGGGACGGCAGAGGAGCCTGTCCGGCTGAGTATGAATGAACAAAGACTCCCACTGCAGCCATTCACCTACCAGGAACACCTACTGCCAACATCACTGCATTTATTCCAAATACACACATTACTTGCTCTCGCTGTAATGGTTTTCACTTCTACAACTTTTTGTGCCTAGGTGGAAACTTGTTCCTTGTAGAAAAGTAAAATGCACTTAAAACGGTTGTCTTGAAACAACCTTGGTTCCCGTTGAAACACCGTGACACACTTCCTTCTTATACTGACTACTTCAGTATTAATTACAATATCACTCACCTGTTGTCCAACAAAGCTGTCACAGGACTTTTCAGAGTAGTAACTTCAGATTAAAAACTTTTCAGATTAGATGCTTCACATCTCCCAGTTGAATACTGTTGCTGGAGACAGCTGACAAAAGGAAATTCTTCATTTAAGAAAGACTAAAAAAAATAAAAATCTTGTTGCCTTGACTGCTCATGGCAAATAAAAAATTTGCATTAACAGATAAAAAAAATACAAGAATTGGACAAAGCAAAGTTGTCACAGGCACTACTTGTTCTTTCCCTTTTTCAGAGTTATCTCAATAGGAAGAAAGCCCATTTAATGGGCTCCATTTTCAGCGCTTTTATTTTAAAGCTATGCGTTCTTACAGTGTTCTGACAGCTGTGCTATGCCAGTGAGGATCACCATGATATCACAACTGAACCCTTTTTGCATACATAGCCATATGTGTTTTCTGTACATCAGTTTTACACGACACGGTAATTGTTTGTACAAAGAAAAAGCCACAGTTTGCAGTGCTTGTCAAAAACTAGGACAGACCCAAAGACAACACACACTAGTGAAGTTGTTTAAATTCCAATACAGCACTTGATATCCCAGTTTTGGCATGTGAAAATCTCTGTAAAGGTTTTGGCAGTTTGACTCTTTTTTTTTTTTTTTTCTTCTCTGAAATCACAGACTTTAATGGAAACAAAGTTGACACACAAAACAACATATGAAAACAGCTAAACTGGATTGTAAGTGACAGGAGCAAGCTTTGGTAGAACTGGATTATTTAGAATAACCATCACAACGCTAACAATGAGTCACTCAGGATTAATGTCCCAATATTTTTAGCAAAGAAAAAGTTATCTTTAACCATATTAGATTACAAATAAAGACAAAAATAGTGCTGATCATTTACTCTTCCACATCGACCGTATGACCCATAGGCAGATCATTTTCCTAAATATCAAGTCAATGTTGTAGCACAACATTTTTATATTTCCCTTCATCTTTAACAAATTCAGAGACATTGTATTTGTATGGGTTAACTAACAACGGTTTTGCTGTGCAAGTGTCGCTTACTCCTGACTTCCAGGACAGTAAGGGTTATTTGGAGCTATATCACGGCAGTGTCTCGTGTGTGGCAGTGCATCCAATTCTGAGCTGAGAGGAGGACTCCAACCCAATGTACATGACCGCAAACAAAATCTGTGTACTGAAATTCAGTCCAAAAATGCTGTACAGTCCGTACGGAACACATAAGAGGAATTATGATTGTACAAGATTGTACATTTTGACCCTAGTAAGATGTACGTGATGGAAAATAAATTGTTGGGTGAGCACGGTTGATTGCCATCAGTCCATACAGCATATCTTTTATCAAATTTATCTCCATTGTGCTAAAGGTAAGAGTAGTTTAAGACTAATAAAACAAACTCTCTTCTCATTAAGACAAGACAATACATTTTACAAGACTTCAAATGTTGAATCTCAAGTTCTCTACCGAGTTACTTAACGTTTGCCTCCAAACCAAGATACAGGCTTCGTTAGTGCCAACATCAGCCCCCTCATTCGACACCAAGCTCACTAACTTGGGAGCGTATTTCCCCCCTCCCGTCCATATATTGTTTGTGCTTCCTGCCTAGATCAAGTGGTCATAGGCTAACAGCCACTATAAAAGTAGCAGTTCGAGTACCTTCTCCCATCCCAGAAAGCTGTAATACAGGACAGTTAATCTAAAAAACCTTGAGAATGAAGTGCAAGGCCATTTGCAGTAAGCAGTTGCCAAATGGAACCATATGCAAAATGGCAGTCTAAAAAGAAGTACTGGAACTACAACTTTTATCCAGCTTGATATGTTTTCTGAAAGGGGAAATCACCAATTACAGTCTTCAACATGAATAACATATTTTAGAAAGTATCAGTAGAAGATTTTGCCAATTTAAAAGGTAGGTGTTGACTGTACAAAGAACGAAACAATGGACTTTCCATTCTTTGCGTATTTGTTCCCCTCACGAGTCCATTACCTTTCACAAAGCAAATTTTAACTATCAAACTTGTCCATAAATTTTGCCGCTGAGTGTGAAACCATCCAGTTAGCATATACACTATCATTTGCATATCTTGGAAACACAGAGTTAGTGCCATCGAATCTTGTGAGTGGAACGGGGCTCTCCTCAGGCCAGTTCGGGTATGACATGCCTAAAAATGAAAACAGATAATTTTTTCTGCACTGAAGAACCATAACTTCATGTGCAGACAGTAAGGCCCTTGGCAAAACTCCCTTCAATATTTTAAGTCAGTCCACTGGATTTTGTCCCAAATCAATTGATATAAATGATGTTTCAAAATCCCTGCAGGCAAAAACCCTGAAAAAAATAAAGTGCTCTCTTAAAAGACCAAAAAAAAAGTGTGTGTGTGTATATGCAAGTGCATGTGTGCACACCTGCATAAGAAATGCTAATAATTTTTCTTCTGATGAGTCTCCAGCTTTCTGCAATTCTCTCTTTTAAGTATCATGTAGCAATATACTGCTTTACAAGAGGAAGTTCTTGCTATACAGGAAGTGCTCCAAGCATTAATAAACCTATTTGGGACAGGATCCAAAGTAAATTCCAATGACTGATATTACTTAAATAGGTGCCTTTTCTTGGCATTAATGAATTTCTGGGGACACTCTCTTACCCTCATCAGAGATGCCCTGCTTAATTTTGAGAAATCTCAGGATTTGACAACTGAGTCAAGTCCAACAAAGTCCTGAGCACTCTTGTCCTGATTCAGCATTTAAGCGTATTTCAGGCATGTGATTATTTCCATTGAGTCTCTGCTTCTCAGTTTAGGAATGAGAGATCACTGAATTGCAAACAGAGTGCTTAGCACCATGTTGATCCAGCTGTACAAGCAGAGAACCACATGAGGGTCAAGATGTCTGCAAAACACAAATCCAATTTTGTTGCTTATTTAATCATCCAGCTTCCGCCATCAGCCCTCACAGCAACTTTTCAGATACATCATTCTTGTGACAATCTGGCCGCTAAGTGCCCCCAAATAAACCTGATATGGTGCAACCTATTAAAAAGAATTATAGCTAGGAAGTTATAGCTAGGATGTGGATCAAAAATTGGCCCAAAGCTATATTTTTAATGACAACTTTTAAGCTAAAAGTTCCAGCTTTTCAAAAGTAATATTGCTTGAAAAAATAAAAAAAAAAGTCTATAATGTTAGTAAATACCTAAAACCAAGTAGAATATTTAATCAGGAGACAAAATATAGGAGTTTTGGCAAGAACCATTTTTACTGTCCATCTCACCATCACAATATGAAAGCATATGTTCTTTTTAAAAACACTTGCTACATCATTCAATCAGGATTTAGTACTGACATTTTCATAATAAATCAAAGGACGTGAAAATAGTTGAGTGCATTTTCAAAACGCCCATTGTTAATTCACTTTTCAAAAGACTTTATATGTTGAGTCAGTCTGTATATAATACTTATATACAGTATTTGTACCTTCTGTATATAATACTCTGATTGCATTCTATGACACATTAAATAGACATTTCAGCTTATGAATCCAAATTGCATTAACAAGAAGCTGAACTTTAGGAAACGGTCTTGATATATTAAAAATTTTGCACATCGGTCCTAGCATTGAACTGTGGCACAAATGGTATTGAAAAAACAAAGTCTATTGCTTAAATTAGAGGTGCAGAATCTAAAGTATGTTAAACATTCCTAGCCCCCACCCCCCAGCAGGATAGCTGAATTAGATACTCATTAGCTTTTTATATTTCCCCTGAGAATACTTCCCTGATCATTTTTTTTTAATATATGATATCTAGTAATTTTACTTATTTTCACATCCTTTTAAAAATGTTTATTTTAAACACAGTTGCAAAATGACTAAAGGATGATCCTGATGCAAACTTTGACATTTACCAAAAGAAAAAAACAAACAAACAAACAAAAAAAAACTCAAAAGAAGCTTCCAAGCAAATTTTGATTGGCTTCATTCAGACAAGGAACACTCTAATGGGATTACAGAGTCTGAGAACAGTGCAGAAGAAAAATCATTTTTTTCTGTTGCTAGAATCTAGTAAATGCATGTGAAATTCTACCATAGAGTTTGTTTTCAATCCATGTGGAAGGGAGGGTTCGAGGGAGGGGAGCATTATTACAGTCCACGAGTGGTGTCTCCTCTTCTGAGAGCCCGTCATCGTAAAGTAAGGAATCAGATGGGGTGGATGCTGCAAGATCTAAGTAATCCTAAAAAATAAATACATAAAAGGCTGTGTTAAAGCAAGTGGCAGTGTTATTGGTTGGATATAAAGGCTAAACTTATTAATACTTCCCTGCACAGCAATAAGATAACCAGGTTAAAGGGTTGTGATGACTTGTTTGACTTTAGATCTTCTAATCATTGTACTCAATCTATTACATAATTGTGTACAAAATCAGAGCTGTGGATATGCTTTCAAATAAAGCTTTTGCAGTTGTTCTAAAACCTATTAATTGCATCAGTCATAAAACCTGACAAGTTTTCATCTATACTTCTGAATGGTTTCGATAAAAAGGGAAAAATATTTTTGATTATTCTGAATTTTACTTTTTCCTTTCAAAATGGCTTTCATTTGGAAATTTACTTAACTTGAACCTTACAAAGGTAAAGTTACCCAAATTTGTTTGTAAATAGAAAAATATATTTAGCCCAGAAATCCAAGAAAATATGACTAATCTATAAAGCTTTGTGTGGGATTGGCTTTGGTTTTAACTACAATGAGAATTTCAGAAACCCTGCCAACTTCTGTATTAGGAGTTAGTCACCATATATGAAGATCATTTCCATACTGAATCACAGCAGCTATCAGCCAGACTTGTGCCATTATTAATTTAGAATGTATCTTCACATTCACAATTTGAACACAATTATCCCCATTTGCTTACTAGAATGTTTTGGAACCAAAGGAACTGCCCACACATTCTCAAATTTTATAATGGCTAACATATGTACATGCTATTTACCATCTGTAACAAAGCAAAACCAGAAATAGTACTTTTTCTACCATTCTGTGGGTATGTGCAAGTAATGCACATGCACGTATGCCTTTTGTGGTTTTCATATATATATATATATATACATAGACATACATGTTATATATATGTATATATGTATGTAACTTGGGCTTATTTTAGGACTTCAGGACACATTCATTTGTGTGTGTTCTTCTCATGAATCAGAAGGAGAATTCTCAGCCTCAAGTTCTCTTCAGTCAGAAATTTAATGACACATGTCAATTTTGGAATAAAAGACACAATTCGTATATATGTGTGTGGTTTGCAGAAGGGACTAGGGCTTCTGCACTTGGTACGTGTGAGGACAAAGGAAAGCCAGGACTGAACTGCTGAGCAAGCTGGAAGAACAAGCCATAGCTGAGGCTCTGTCAAAGTGTGAGTGAGATGGTGCTCAGAAATTCCATGATAAATCTCTACTGAATTCCAGTAACTCTAAAATAAATCTGATTGGGGGTATGTCACAACTCTCCTTTTTCTCTTGCCATCCTCATATCATTAAATTACATTCAAAGAAATGTGATTTATGCTTCTCACTCATGAGTTATTTATTCAGTATTGCAATTAAGGATTATCTTTTCACAGTAATCTGTTTCTTTCTGGTTAAGGAAGCTAGACATGAAGGGTAATTCAACGCATACATTCAGGGTTGAAGTCACCCAGGATATTATATGAGATATGGCTGCTTTCAAAAGATTTGGAAGAAATTAGATATTTACATGGTTAAAAACTTGATGAAAATTAAGTTAACCTACAAAGAAACAGAACAAGAACTAAAAAATACCTGCTGCTTATTTCTCTATATTCAAACTCAGGTATCAGAAAAGTTTAAAAAAACACAAGCTTGCACACACACTTACCCTACTTTTTACCATCATTTTCTCTAGTTCTTTGCTGATCTCAGCAAATGTTGGTCTTTTATCTGGCTCTTGCTTCCAACAGCGCAACATCAGGTTGTACCTGTGACACCCCGCCATGTGGTGGGGCAAAAGAAATAATAACAATAATTTAAAAAAAAAGTCAATATTTGCAAGTGGGTCATGTGTCTACTCAAATCATTTATAATACAGAAATTTTCATTTTCTTGTTTAGTATTTCCCGAATCAAGACCTGACATTCACAAGAACAAGCATTTATTTTCCTACTATTCTTTATGGGTTTAAATGATGATGCACTTGGCTGTCCTTGAAAGACCAGGGTCTCAGGTTTCTTTCATCACTTTCATTTTCAGAAAGGACTGTCTCGTGTGTAGGCAGCGGGCCAGATTTCTAATTTATTGTGTTTGCCAATGACTTTGAAGGATTTTGTCTATCACCATATACAACTGGTGCTGCATCTCATAATTTGATTATTATTCTGTCTTTAATCTAATATTTCTTTCAGAGGCACCTTGCCTTCTCCAGCACACAGCATGGAAAGAAAAAAGGGGGTAGAAGAATTAAAGCTTTACAATCAAGTGAAATCTGCTCTTTTTTAAACCCTGCTTACGTGACTCTTCTACCTAGTGCCCTATTCATGTTATTTTTTGTGCTCAAGTATACTCAAGACTAAATGATTTAGTCATAAAAGTGTTTCTAAATGGGGAAAAAAGCAGTCACAAGAGCTACAGTAAGCTCTTGAAGAGCATCAGATTTTCTGCAGTGATCTTCCCCTAAACTAATTCTGCAGTGATACTCCCCTAAACTAATGTAGGGCATGCAATTTAAGAAAAAGTGGTCCTTAAAGGAGGCTTTCAAAGATTGCCAGATATATGTCTAAGCACAATAGAAAAAAAATAAAAACATTCAGAAAATCATGATGTGGTTTGAAGAAAAAAAACCTCAGACATCACCAACTTGCTTAACCTAGAAAGCACCAATATTATACCATGTTGGAGGAATGAGGTTTTGCTCTCTGCTGAGATGAAACAGAGACATTTTTAAATATTTACAGTTTTTACTGCTAAATATTCTGGGTCAAGATATCTTTTCTCTTGTGTAATGCCAGAACAGACAGACAATTAATAGTAACTCTAGAGGATGCAACACCTATCTCATTTGCAGGAAAGCACTCAAACGTTTTCTTGCATGTTTCCCCTATTATTATGTACAACAAAAGGCTCCTCCTCACGCCACCCTCAGAAGTTTGGAATATTCAAGGCATGCTTTCAGTTTTTGCCGAGCGTGTTTTTCGATAACCTACAAGCACTTCGGCTGTAGCTGCAAGCATTCAGCAAGCATCCAATTCTTCCCCTGCAGTTTAACGTTTGCTAATTCCTGACATTTTGTTGAGTACTCCATCTTTTTGATTATACTTCCGAGCCATAACTGCAAGTTCTACAGAAGAACATCCACATAGTATTGATTTTGACCCTTTCTTTTCCCCATTCAAGTGATATTTTATGAATCTGATTAAAACGAGAATGACTTACATTTCTTCACTGCAGTTTTCTGGTCTCTCCATTCTATAGCCTGTTTTCAGGAGGTTAAAGAGTCGCTCAGGAGCAATACCTGGGTAAGGATTGCCTCCCAAAGTTACAATCTCCCACAGCAGAACTCCGAATGACCACCTGGAAAAGAGGAAAAGGAGCTTTCATTTAGAGTGGTAGGGTTCAACAGTGTAGTGTAGGCTTCATCCAGCAAAAAGGTTAGAACTGGGGTATGTGGGATGTTCCTCTTAGATCCCTTTGCGAGGGCCAACAGTATCCTGGGAAAACCACCTTTCCCAGGAGCGGAAAGGAAGGGTCCTATGCAGGGGGCTGCAGCACAAGGGCTGGTGCCCATGAATTGCCCCAACTCAGAGGGTGGCACAAGCCCCTGCCCAGGCCCAGGGGCACTGCCTGACCTAAGGGGTGGGGTGTCTTTATCCGTCCCAGCTGTTGATCTTAGTCACCAGCAGCACCTTCACTTCCAGCCAATCTATCTGGCAAAATGTGTGCAGAAGCCACTTGCCACTCTCACACAATCTTAAATGGAAAGCAGTGGCTTTTCTCCCTGTTACCATTCATTGGATTCAATTATAATTAATTTGCATATTCTTGAAAACTAATGAATCTTTATAACATTTTGACATACTTTATTAATATACCTCCTCACGACCTCTATTAAGGCAATTACGCCCTGCCATCAGCTTGTAATTCTGCCCATGATTAAGCCAAATAAACTTTGTTGTGTCACAGATTTTATTTTTTAAAAATCCCCTTTTTTTGGCTAAGAGAAATTTTTCAGAATGGAAGGAAGCATCAGATGAGTAATTTCTTAATTCAACTTGTTTAGTAAATGGGCTTATGGGACTAGAATGCTACAGAATGCTAAAACATTTTCAAATCATTTTACAAGTCAAGTAGTATGGGAGGAGAAAGGGGAGATGAAAAAAAAAATCCCATGGTGCTATGTTTATTGATGAATAAATGTGTGTTCAGAAAAAGCCAGAAAAGAAAAAACCCACGAGCAGGAAGGCAGCAGGCTAGCTTTCCACTGATGTCATCAACCTCGGGAGCAAAAAGGGATTTTGTAAATGCTGGCAAGTGGTACTGCTATTAAGCACTGCTAACCATTAACTACATAGGCAGGCTTTAAAGGGAAGAAACTGGAAAAATAGGAGGAAAAACAGTATTCTGGGATAGTTATTGAGTATATTATTATATGTTCACTAAAAGCTCGTTGCATCACCACAAGCAATAGAGCATGTTCCTAAAATATTTCCAGTGAGTGTAACTACCCAAAATAGCATTCCGTGCTGCAAAAATGTAATTTATTTTTCACTTTGCTCCACTGTTGGAAAGGCAGTTGCGAAGCTAGTGCTGGGGAGGACTTCATTTACAGCCTGCTCTCTCCATCTCCATCCTGTTCTGCAGGGGCTTTGCTGGACGAGGAGCTGCCTGGTAACAACCTTGGATCACTGACTGGTGTAAGGAAGGGCCCCACGAAGGTCACCTCACCAGCGAGCCATGGGCCCTGCAGAGCTACAGCAGATGATCAGACTTTCTCTGGAATTGCACAGCGCAGTGCTGGTAATACCTGACATATGCCCAAGTCCCAGAGCAGCCTGCATGCCCAGCACCAGCACCTGCCCCATGAATGGGGCAACGTGGGTGCTGTGCTGCATCAGGGACGTGCAGGGTGTGCTGCTGAGCTCAGGTGTAGCCCAGTGGGACTATGGACAAGGATGCACGGTGAAGGATCTGGCTATCAGCAACCATAGTGACACACAGGTTGCACAGAAAATGGAGAATACAAAATATTCTATAAATAACACTTTGTTGTACAGTGTCTGCTGGGTCACTAGTCACCACCATCGTTCGCCTCAGAGAAAGGAGCAGCAGTATCTGATCCTGCACTGAGCCCAGCAAAGATTCAGCATGTGCCACCTTGGGCAGCTCTGTGTCCTTTCCCACTGCATTGGAACCAGGTGAGGGGACTCTGGGGCCTGACTGAGATACAGGAGCACATGAAAATTAATTGTTGTACTTCCTTCCCTTGTTTCCTTAAACATACATAAACCATACAAAGTACAAGAATTTACACTTACACATCACTTTGTGTTGTATAGATATGATCAAATAGGGATTCTATGGCCATCCACTTGACAGGTATCCGGCCCTGGGAGATAAAAAGTAGCAAAAGAATTACTGGTCAGAAAATAAAGATGCCCTGTGGAAAACCAATACATTTATCTTCAAAACTGTGACAGATTCTCCACTCGAGTCCATCTCACATATTTTTCAGTGGACTGAAAGAGTTGATATTGCATTAAAACAAACAAGCAAGCAAAGCCATGAACAGAACAATTGTAACAGGTTTCTAATCACTGAACATCACTCATTCCACACATTTAAGTTATCTAATTATCGACTATATTTTTTTCCTTTTTTTCCCCAGATGGCCACCAGTTAAAGGCAGGTAAACTTAATTTTCCTCTTCCCAAATGATTGTCTTGTAACAAGATTCCCATTTAATGCTTGGGGAAACATGCAAAATGACGGAGAAGGATGATGCAAGGTGATTTAGCTTGCTGTATCTGAAAATATCTTTTAACACAAATAAATGACAATTTGTAATTCATCTTTTGAGTCTCCAAGTTACTGCCCTCAAGGTTTTTTGTTTGCTTTGTGTTTTTAGGGAAGCAGCAATATGACTCAACAACAAGAGGATGTCTCCCAATGCCACGGAAGAGTCTTTTCCATCAAGTTTCCTTGACACAGTCCTACAGATGAAACATAACCATATGCTGAATTCTGCCATGAGCACTGTGAGCAGAAAGAACTGTATCTAGGCAGCTGATCATAACTTACTGTGGCAGACAAAATAGGATTTATTTCAGATAATCTTTGGCAAGTAGCACTGGCAAACCTTCTCCCTTTGGATGGCATTTTATGGGCCTATAATCTACTATTTTAAGTAAGACTTGGTTTTCAGACATTTGGAAGGACATTGTACCTTGCTCCTCTTGACATATGAATCTTCTTCGTATACATCACGGGACAGGCCAAAATCAGAAATCTTCATTTTGCGTCCCTCTGCCACCAGTACATTCCTGGCTGCCAAATCACGATGGACAAGCTATTGAAAGAAACCAAGAGCAGTGTTTAGATGCCTGTGGAGGAGCTGATGTGGACGTCTACCACAAGGGCAGGCTTTGACTATTGGCAGCCATCCCTACCTTCATATCTGCGAGGTACTGCATTCCGCGAGATATCTGCCAGGCAAACGATATCAGGTCTCCCATGGTTAAGGCTCTCTCATCAGGGTTATCCAAATAACTCGAGTTCCTGTTGCCATCGCTGCCCACGTAGCTTGGTCCTACTTTTCGACTTTCCCTGAGAAAACTGCGCAAGGAACCATACTTAGCGTATTCCACAATTAAATACAGAGGACCTGAAATAAACAAACCATAGATTAATAAATATATGGCATTTCTTTTTCTCCCATAGAAGACTCTATGCAGCACAGACTGTGTTTAATAGTGAGAGGCTCCAGACACCTCTGTCCTTCAAGTATAAGGCACTGAATCAGCCACAGAATACATAATTGTAGCCTATGTTTTCCATGCAAAGCAAGCATGAAAAGCATTGAGCCTAAATCAAAGCAGAAATCAGGCTGTAACTCATTCCCTCACGTGGATAATTTGAGATTATATATAAAGAAAAAAACAGCCTGAAGCAGATCTGTAAAACAACTGAACTTAGATAAACTTAAACAAACAAACCACCCCCAAGACAAAATCCTTTTCTGGAGTGTGTGACACGGAGCTCACAAGTTATCTGCTATTTCCAGTGTTTAATTTGAGGTCTTTTCAAAGCATTAGAAATATTCCAACATTTCAGTCCATTAGTAGGTTTCTCATCCCCATTATCCACATGAATAATATCCACTCTGTGCTTTAGGCTCAATACATTTGTCTGCTATATGAAAGGCCGCCCACCCCTCATGTTAATGAATTAACTTGATATTTATTAAAAGCCTGTGACTCAGGAACAGATCACTTCCCTAATGATGGAAAAATACATGGTACTAAAAAGAAAAAACACAACCCTCTGCTGGCTCATTACCTTCCTAAGACTCAGAGATGACTCAGTTCTGATTTACATTCTCTCTCTACAGCTAGTAGTGCCATCTGAAACAGAACTGGGTGGGCAAAGAAGCCAGGGCCCAAAGTTGCAGCATATACACTGTGATTTTAGGCTGCAAAAGTCACAAACTATTTAAGCAAGATGGATCAAATAAATTAGCTAATTATCACAGCAAGAGGGACACCAATACTGTGGTATTGTAGGAGGGAAACTGAGTATCAATCTGCCTGGCAAGCTGTACTTGAACAAAACATCTGCAGGGTGGAGCTGTCCTTTTAAGAAAGCAGGTCCCACTCCTTGACTTCGGACTTAGTGCATTGTCATAATACAAATGCCAAAATAAACTTTAAATATAAATTTCTATTTATTTTAATATAAAATCTAGAATTAAAACATTTACTGAGTATCAGCATAATATAAAAATATATATTAATTAGAAGAGAATTAGCAAAGCAATGGTTAATTTTAAAGTAATTTCAGAATTGAAATGAATATTGAGGATATCCAAGGTAATAATGCTTAGTTACACTGAATTAACATTTCCCTTCCCTGCAAACATCACTTGTCCTTACATGACTTCATTTTTCAGCTAGCTGCAAATTTATAAGATGTTCTGCATTTTAAAGCCCTGCTTAAGAAGAACTATTTATTTTCTTCTAATATAAATTTCATCTTAGAAATGAGTTTCTAGTACTTACCATCTTGACTGCAGGCTCCATAAAGCTTGATGACATGAGGATGGTTCACCTGCTTCAAAAGGTTGAATTCGGAAAGTAGATCTCGCAGCTCACTCTGAGAAGCGTTTTCTGCAGAAAACATGAAGAGAAAAAAATGTGGCTAGGAAAGCATTAGGCCGGGATTTTCTGCATAGAGCCTGAACTATGAGATCACACCATCCGCTTGGGATTAGCACGAGGTTGGAGAGCTCAGTTCTGCATATCTGGACCTTGTAACATGTTTCCCATGTAACAGAAACTTGCCCCTCAGCAGCACCTTGCAGTCACTTATATCAGAACCAAGAGAATGGGACACCTGCACTTCTGGCTTGGTATCTCCTATAGTCATTGCTCTGCCCTGGTACTAATGATACAAAAAAAAAAAAAAACAGATCAGGGAAGAATCAGGACCAGAGTCCTCAGTGCCTTGCAGATGTCAAAGTTACAACAGACTTTTTCCAGTGTTCTACAATAACTTTTGGGGGTTGAATCAGAGCAATCTAAACTTCACAAGTCTAAGAAAAATCAAGATTTTTCTGTTGATCAAACAAAGAACGAACATGATCTGTTGTCTCCCATCACACTCTACCTCTGCATTACCAGTGTGCTGGTATACATTCCTGCTTAAAGCAGCAACACGGTACAGAGCTGTTACCTGAGCTCCCCGCAAAAACCCCTAGCATCTGTTTGTGTGTATTAGTCTGATTCTTTCAATTAATTTAATATGGAAAGAATGTGTAATGTTGGCGTATAAAGCAAATACATATTTGAAGTAATGAAAAAAGTTCTCCACGGGCAACTTGAAAAGTGGATTTTTTCAGGTGATTTGCAAAGGAATTAATTAGAGCCATCAGTGTTACTGCAAATGTCATACCAGTTCATACAGTGAGGTTCTTAGAGGGTTATTCCTTCCTGCTATCAGTTCTGACCCTGTTATTAGCTAGGGAAAGCTGAATGTTCATCATCTGTGAGTAAAAACAATGGTTTTACCAGTATATTTTGCAATCTTAGCCCAGTCACCTGTTGTTGATGCAAATATGATAGCAAATTACTGACAACAAGCACGCAAAGGCTATGATTATTCTGTTCCTAACAAAACACAGGAAGTTACATGAGCATCACAGCTAGGGCTTGACTAGTCTTCATCTCCAAAATGACTTATTACCATGACCTCTTCTGTGTATCCTACCTCCACCAAACTCCAGGAGCTGGGGCACGCACCCTGGCTGTAAACTCATGGGGTGTGCAGCAGCTTGACTGTAAAGCAGGATAAAACAGATCTTCTCTCTCTCTTTTTTTTTTTTTTTTTTTTTTTCCCCCCTCAACTTGCTATTTACCCTAAGCTTAATATCAATTGCTTATTGCCATAGAAATGGTAATAAGATATATAGCATTTCTTATAATTACATGTTTTTATTTATAAGTAGCATATGGACGGCCTTCTCCAGCTAGACCTAGTTGCCTAGCAGAAATGTTTTCTAGCATCTATAAGCTTCTAGCATTTGAAGGTTCTTATATCTCCTCTTCCTTGGATGCTGATATCTAGGAATTACATGCAGTTATGAATTAATATACAAGACCACAGAGGACATAGCTGCATTTTAATATCTATTTCAACTTTCAGGATATGGAGAAAAAAAATGACCTGATGAGGTAACAGGTTTAAACACTTCCAAAGAACTTCATCACTGCCACTGGATGTCCAGAGATGTCATTATTAGAAACTGGGTCCACATACTAAATATGTAAAATCTCTAGTCACATACAACTATAAGAAATGGCATAAATCACAGGTTTCAACATTTTCCACTTGAAAAGTACAGAAATACTGCAGATTTCTTATATTAGAGAATAAACAAATATTTTTTTCATCTTTTTCCTTCAATATATTTTTCAGGATGGGAAAGAAGCAGACATATGTGAGGCTAAAAAAAAAAAAAAAAAAAGAAAGAAATACTGAACAGGGACAGGACAAGACCACAAGGTCTCACACTGTCATCTCAACCCGTCTAGCTATACCTTTTCTTTTCCCTCAGATTTACAGTCTAAGGACAAACTAAGACAGCAGGAAACAGTACTGGGCTATTCAAGCCACTTTGGCAGAGTTCCTAGTAATTGAATAACAGATCAGGGAGTACAAAGGAACTGGATTTCACAATCAGGAAAGTAAGTGAATAACTTAATAGTTCTGCCTCTGCAGTTATATTCTGTCTCTGGACATGAATATAATGGGATTTACTTAAAAAGTCATGTCACAAAACTGAGGTAGAGGAAAAAAAAAATCAGAAAACTCTAACAAGCCCTTGCAGTGTTTCCATCAATGCCAAACAAAATTAAATGCATTTGCTACATTAAGAGACAGTGTCCTTGCAGAACATGAGCTAGAGTTACTTATGCAAACTGCTTGTTTGTACGAATGGGATGCCAGCTCCTACACTCAGAAATCTGGGAGAATCTAAGCAGAATGCTGGAAGAAATGGAGGCTGCATCACTGGCCGGCTTCAGCCCAGCTTTTACCTTCATCATAGCCCCTTTTAAAATCCATTCAGAGGACATTCCAAACAGATTCCAAATCATTTCAGACTTATATAGAAAAATACCTTTTAGCATTTTCACTGCCACGGTGGTGTAGCCGGCTCTTCCCTTGAGTCTAAACGCTGTTGCCTTAACAACCTTTCCAAACTCTCCTTCCCCTAGAGTCTTGCCCAAAACCAGGTTCTTCCGAGGGAATTCCCACTTCGGGTCTTCCTGCAGGACAGAAAAGGAGTACCATAAGGTGAAGTCAGACAGAAGTGGTCATTAATGTTTAATGGGAAGCCATCCTTCAAGAACAGGCACCTTGGAATAACATTTTGGGTTGCTCTTTTTATCAATATCCATGTATTCGTATAAAAATCCCTTGGCATTTTGCAAATGTTTTTCCATTACCTTGAAATCACATCCTCAAAGAACAGGCCTGCAAATGTAGCCTGTGGGTAACGGATGATATTTACAGGTCTGGGAAACAGGTTCCAATGAAACATTAAGTGATACAGGATAAATGCTTTCTTTCAGATAACTACGAATATGCAGCCTTGGACTTCACAGGCAGTCGTATCAGTTTTACCTGTGAAATTAGACTTTCCCTTAAGAGTTCTTCTGAGAAAAATGCTCTTGTGTTATTGAGACATACAGCTGCAGAGCAGTGACAGATGTACAAACCAAGAAAAACAATAAAGCAAACGGAGCACAAGGTCCTCCTTGTATGTGTCATTTCTGTTTCAGTATTTGAGTTGGATATTTCTATGAATAGATTTCCATAACATTTTCTGTGTACAATAAACAACCTTCTTCAGAAACAAGAAAAGCATCCAAAAAGAGCACACAACAGAACAGCAAACTTACTGGTATTTTAAAGGTATCTACAGACACCTGGTTCTCCATGGAATCTAAAGAAGGCCGACGGACATTAGTAGAGGAATAACTGATGGGATAAGACTGGGCTGGGCGCCGGAAAGTCATCTCTGCTGAGGCAATAGGCGGCTTTGGAGAATTCTTGTGGTAACGATGGATGAAATAAGAGGAAAGCAGCACGGAGATAATGAAGGACAGCAGCACAGCCCCCGCTATCACAGTCTTGCACACGTCATCACATAATTGCTCTGCAGACCAAGAACAGCTCATTAGACCTTTATTGGTTGTTGCCCACTTCTGCTGGCAGTTCACACAACACACGCAGCTGGAGCAGGAACAGAATACAAAATTATTTCAAAGGCTACAGCAAACCCCAGCATCTAATTCTCAAAGTAGGACCGGTCTATGCCCACCGCAGTCTCCATTTCAGGCACCAGGCAGTTTGTTATCTGTAGTTCAAGTGTAATGACAGCTAGTTAACTTGACCCAATATTCCTTAGTTTTACAAGCGCGATCTGCTTCTGAGACTCTCTTTTAAAACTCAGCCTGCCGGTGTTCTGATACCCCATGCATCTCTGAAGACCTACGTCCAAGACTTTGCACATGGGTAACAGTTTATGTTAGAACCAATCAGCCTAGCAACTAAAATCTACTCCAGGGTGAATTTTTATTATGATAGTCATCAAAAACGGTTTTCTTCATCTTTTTATATGCAAAAGAAAGATTCAGAATATTTCTGCTTTGTGTTTAACAAAATACTGTCTTCTGAAAATATTGCCTAATGCTATAATCACTTCTAAAGTGATGTACATTTTTTAAAAAAAAATAATAATTCAGTTTTAGAGATGCAAAATACTTCATATATTAAGTTTATTGTTAAACAGCAAAAACAAATTTAAAACATTTTAACCTCCAGACCATGTGTTTCAAAGAAATGCATAGAAGTTTTTATGCTTTGAGTAAAGGCCAAGGAATAAAGTAATGCACTTTTCCCCCTAACATAGTAGGCACTGGCTACCTCTGACAATTGTGACCTAAGATTTTCAGAAATGATTAGGAGGCTGGGTTACTTTAAAGTCACAGAAAGTTGTTCTTATTCCTCTAGCTATCTTTTAAAAATATCAGGTGAGCCCCACTGAAATGCAAATACAGCTGGAAAGCAAAGGACAGCCAAGCTGTTTGTTACGTAGCAAGGGATAAAAGAGCATCTTTAGTCAAGAACAGAAGCAAAACCCCTGGGCGTTTTTAATTTCCATGGTAAAATCAAGGTGTCAGTTTTAATGAATTTTTTATTAGCAGCCTGTGACCAAGATATCGCTTATTAACCTGTCCATGAGTTTACTCTGCTGAATGTGCATACAGGGCAGATACAAAAAGAATGAAGGATTAATGATACAACAAAAGATAATGTTGAGACTTACCCTTGATATCACCTTTCTCACAATAACAGTTCCGTCTTGGGTAGCAGTAGCAGATCCCATGTCCTGACTTAATTCCAAGATTTCCAATGCCTTTCCCATGACCGCCAATGATGTTTCCACCTAATCAAATACAGACACAAGCTCAGATTCTCACAAGCAACTAAAGCAAAAGAAAGGCTTGCAGCAATCTGTGTGCTCTCTTCTAGCATGTAGCTGAAATGCAACAGGGTGAAATTTAACAGGGCAACAAAGCGCAGCAACAACGACGACTCCTGAGAATTAGAGGGATCCTCAATTCAAACACTTCTGATTCTGAAATGAGGGGACCTTGGGCTGCCTGAACATTAGCCATAACAGTTATTATGAAAGAGGTAGCTAATATTAAAAAAGTAATAATTTTCTTTGTATAGCTTAAATAATTTTTTTTATTTCAGGTGCTGTTTATAACATTACATATAAACCCTCTGGCAAGGCGGTCTTACATTTTAAAATATTCCCCCAATCATCTTCTATTATTTTTTAGAAATATTTAGAAGTATTTGTTATGCATATGAGATTTTGCATGTTTCAGTGATATAGAGCAGTAACCCATCAGTCTACAAATGTGAGCTTTGTCCCTGGTTCAGACACCTATTTCCTCTAATGCCAAGCAGGTAACTTTACTGCTCTACACAGCACCCGCTCTGCAGTCAAGCGGTGACAGTGACACCCAGTCACTTCTGCAAAATGCTGGGGACAGTCTCACGAAAGTGCTCAGAGTAAGGACCAAGTGCAAGTAGGGAAAAAAGAAAATGATGCATTACCTAGTATCAGGGAGAAAGTATAGCAGCTTACATAGAACTAGGCTAGGTTTCAAAACAGTTGGTCATGCAGAGTGATGGCAAGGTTGAGCCCATACTGTCTAATTAAGAAAATATTTTTTTCTGCATATAGCATAGAAAGGACTATTGGTTTGAATTGCTTTCTGTAAAGTATCTTTAATCATGAACAACATTTCACAGACAGAAGCTGTGAACAAACCAACCACAACCTGCAAATTTATCTGTGCTTCAGAAAGATTCTCTAAACCCTAAAGGGATTTAAATGATGAACAGAGTATTTTCAACAGTCTTTTCAATTCAGCTCCTTTTCTTCCATCCTACCTAATTTTGTAGCAGAGTGAACAACTGTTTCTTTTACTTTTTTTTTTTTTTTTTTGA